ATGATCACGTATTCGTGTAAGTTGAACTTTGTCTTCGAATTCTTTATGGCGTAAGGCTTCCCGGCTGACCATGTCAATTCGTGGATTTACCACCTTAGCAGATTTGACATATTGACCTTCGACTATGTACAAATTGACCAGAAATGTTAACAACATTATGTATTATTGGATAATACTTAAAATAAGCACTTTATTCTCACTATATCTCTCCTCTACTTCGACAACTCCCTTAGTGAAACAAGCGGCAAATTTATCTGCCAAGTCACCGGTGATTTCTTCTTTTAAAATTATTTCTGGCATCAGTCGGTATGATGCGGTCGCTAAAATCGAATAATAGTTTTAATATAATATCTGACACGAGTTCTAAAAATTAAACTATTATTGTACCAACTGGTGACCATTTTGCATGATCTTTTCCAATCCCTTTTTCACAATGCGCTTCTAACTTTATTTTCTATGGAATTAAAAATTTTTTATTTACATCATGAAACCTCGAAACAAATCTCAGGAATAATAATTATTACTTAATCAAAATCCACACCTGGCCTGGTCTCATTTGCGCAATTAAAATATCATTGTGGACCGGTCTGAGGGGACAACTTGCATATTTTTCTTCTTGGTCCCCTTTTGGAACCCAAACCAAAGATTCAGATAAAACTAATTTAAAAAAAAACAAAACACATTTATTAGCTTAAATTGTTTCACAAAAATGAATTATCCTCTATTGGTGATAACTCACGGTTGTGGCCTAGATATAATTTTTGTGGATCTGTTTCATCATCTCGAGCTTTAGAATTGAATGTACATTCATGCTCAATTTTAAATACAATTGTGTTCATATCTGTGGGTGATTCATTAGCTAATAGAAAAAAAAAAAGATATATAAATTATCTTAAAATTTAAACAATAGAAAAAAATTTGTAGAAATAACAAAATACCGTGTTTGAAATGGAACTTATCAGGATCAGCTTTTATAGGTATTAAACCTAATCGATGTGCAAGCACTTCATCTTGTACAATTGAAGTATTATTATACATGTAAACTTTCTCTATCGCCATTGTGGGTACCTTTTTTAAATATAATAATAATATCGGCTTATGTCCACCACATATAGAAAAGTATCGAATCCAAATCTTTTAACCGATAAAAAAAATTTATAACCTCAGCGATCATAATACGTCTTAACGCGTTTGCTATGGCAGCATCAACACCGATCAAATCAAACTCCATGTCATATTGTTCTTTTCTGATAATTTTGACACTGAATTTCTATCATTCAGTACATATAACAAATAAGATATAAACGGCTACTAGTTCAGTTATAGAATTTGATATCTTATTAAAAGTTTGAGCCACCTTCATAAATGCCTTAATGTAATCAATATCTTGGTGATTCGAACTATGATAAGGAAATTCACTTGAAGAAGTCTTGATAAATTAGAGTTAAAATATGCTATCGTCACGAAAAAGTTGAAATGATATTGTCACTCGCGTACATACACTTCCTACTCCTTCCTTCTCGATCATCACCCTCGTTCTAAGTTGTTCCAATCCTTCTGCATTGCCTTGGGATTTTGTTCTTTTTGACATCTTGACGATAAATCAAAAAAAAAAAATTTTAGTCTATTTTTAGTAACTACTTGAAGCACAGCATATGTATTTACTTCATCTATAAATACTGAGGTCGAAACCTTTTTCTCCGACTACGTATTATTCCGCTTTTTTCTAAAGTAAGTTTTTCGTATTAACTTTTGAAATAATGAAAGCATATCTAACGCGTAGTTTATAGAATTTATTTAAGACTATGAAAATTATCGTTTGTGGAGGAGCTGGATACATCGGCTCTCATCTTGTTCGGGAACTTTCAACTCAACCGGGTTATGAAATCATCGTCCTAGACAATCTTTCGAAGGGACACATAAAAGCAGTAACAAAAGGGATTGCTTTTGAAAAAGCAGATGTTCGTGATAAAGAAGCTCTTGAACAAGTGTTCTCTAAGCATAAACCTGATGTCGTAATGCACTTTTGCGCTTCAATTGCTGTCGGAGAAAGCGTTACCGATCCCCTGGGATATTACGAGAATAATGTTGTTGGTTCCATTTATTTGTTACAAGCTATGCAAAAACATAATGTCAAATATTTTATTTTTTCTTCTACTGCTGCCATTTTTGGAAATCCAGAAGAAACTCCTATACCAGATGACGCACCGACGAAACCAATTAATCCTTATGGTGACACAAAGCTTACCGTCGAAAAAATTCTCGCATGGACTGAAAATGCTCATGGTTTAAAATACGTTTGTCTTAGATATTTTAATGCTTGCGGTGCTCACGAAAGTGGTGAGATTGGCGAGGATCATCATCCCGAAACACATTTGATTCCTCTTATTCTTCAAGTTGCTCTTGGTCGTAGAAATTGTATTAAGATATATGGAAATGATTATGAAACTAAAGATGGAACTTGTGTACGAGACTATATACATGTCACCGATTTAGCTACCGCACATATAAAAGCGCTAGAGTATATTGTGAAAGAAAACAAATCTCAAAAATTCAATTTAGGCTCAGGCGAAGGATATACGGTTAAAGAAGTAATAGAGGCTGCTAGAAAAATTACCGGTCATCCGATTCCTGAAGTAGTTGAAGCTCGTAGAGCTGGAGATCCCGCGATATTAATTGCTGGATCAACACGTGCAGAACAGATTCTTGGTTGGAGACGAAAATATAATACAATAGAAGATATTGTTGCTACTGCATGGAAATATCATAAGGCTAATATAAATGGTTATGGTGATAATTAGTACCTTTATAGAGCATTCATAGAGTAACTCTACTCATCCTGGGCGATTTATTAAACATAGTCCCTAAATTTTTTTTAATTTACATTTACTTAATTTAATAAACAAATTTTTTTTATAGAAAAAAATTTCAAATCACTATCGTGTAATAGGCGTCTTCAAACCGTTGTTGCCAGTGTTGGGCTCGCTTATAAGCCCAGTAAAATTGAACTGGAACTGGACTTATAGGTCCAGTGGTCCAGTTTATAAGTCCAGTAGAGCGGACTTTTGGTCCAGAGCCCGACACTAGTTGTTGCGTAACGAACGTTTTCAAAACGTCATTGCATAGCGAACATTTTTATAATAACTTAATTATTTAATTACCTAACCCTAAATACCCTGACTCTAATGTGTGGCAACAATCACGGATCCGAACACAATCTGCATACTTTTTAAAAAATTGATTAATGCTAACACAAAAATTACTTAATTACGAAATTGCTTTTTTTAACTAACTTGTAAAAATTACTTAATTGTGAAATGGCTTTTTTTAAATCGTTTGGCAGACAACTTTGCTTATTTTGAACTTTAATTATTGTCGTGGATGAAAATTCTGACCAGAATTATAAAAATTTTGGCTTGAATTATGATTTAATTTTTATTAAAAAAAAGAGGGTTTTGAAAATTGGATCTAATTTTGTAAAATATATCTCTACTATAAATACAGTATATAGTACTTTTTACTTGTAAAAAGTAAATCAAATTAGTTATAACAACCTTTTTTATTTTATTTATTAATTGTTTAGTTTGCTAAACTATTTTTTGATTTTTTAAAATATTTATTTCTTATCTAACTTTTTAAATTATTATATTTTAAGAAAATTACAATTTTGTTTTTTTTTAAACTTTGGTAATCTCTCCGGTTACTTTATTAGATGTTCAATGAGAATATATATTTTTACTTTACATGATCTATTTAGGATCATGCATATACTAATACAAAACCCAACTTATCTATATAGGTGCCCAGATATGATCTACTGCACTAGGCTGACTTTTATAACCAGCCTTTACTAACTCTTCGGACAGTGCTAGGAACCAATTATCAAATCTAGAAGTTTTTTCTGAACAAAGCTTTTTTATACTAGTTTATATATGCTCTATTTATCTATTATCTAGATTTTATTTATTTATTTTTTTTTAATATTAAGGTGACTACTTTGGAGTCTAGCATGTTTATTATTTACAACTGGGTCAAATGCTAGCTCAGTCTTATTAATCTCACCTGACTTTGTTATATCTAGTGATTTGAACTAAGAAAAATTTTTTTAATTAGTTAACCAAACTAAATTATTTTATTTAACTACTGTAGTTACCAACTGGTTAATATTAATATCTATACTATATTATCCCAAAATAACATCCCAGATATAGGTTAAAATTTTGGTCTGAATTAAGCTTAATTTGGGCCAAATTTTTAATCTATACTCTAGGGTATTATTTCATAGTATACTATCTTTAAAAATTCTCAAAGCTTTACTATAATTTTAATATTTATTTTTTTTTTGTTAGATCTTTATTTTTTTTATATCATTTGTTATTTTTATACTATATTTATTTTATCAACTGGTTGTACCAGATCAGCCAATTAAAAATTTTTTAATTGGTTATCTAAAATATATATGTTACTGAAATAGGTTTTCAAAAAAACCCTATTTTGTCTCTATTAAAGCAAATTAAAATTTTTTATATACAAAAGCAAATCTAATTTAGATAGTTATGTTTCTTATAATTTTATCTCTTCAAAAAAAGTATCAAAAAATTTTGTCTTTTAAGTAAAATAGATCAAAAACAATTTTGTCTTCAAATTTTAATTTTAGGTTTTAAACCCCAAAATAATTTTAGCCAACATATATAATCTGAAATTTATTTGGTTTGAATTGGTTAACCAATTATAGCTCAACTAATTCAAGTTACTAGTTATATTAACAAGAGTACAATTAGTCACATATACAATTTTAGTTATAGAATATGGTGATTTAGTAAAATGATGAAGTTGTCATATTCTTAAGCAGTATGTCCAGAGTTTGAATCTACTGTCAATGAAATTTGAATATTTTGTTGTAAAACAGTTACTATCTCTCATCGATTAGTTAAATTTAGGATTTGTAATCAAGATCATATTAGATATCTAAAAGAATTATCAGACATTTATGTAATATATAAATTATATGTAAGTTTTGATAAAACTGTGTAAAATCAAGGAACCAGAAAGATGTATATTTATTTGGCAAAACATGAGAAGTAGGATGTATATTTATTTGGCAAAACATGAGAAGTAGCATAAATCTTCAATAGTGCTATATAAAGAATTATTATTAGAAGAACTAGAAAAACTGAATAAAATCAAGATATATAGCAAAGCATCTTATCAATCAGACTATTGAGGCTAAAGAAAAAAAATCTGTTTAATTGTAAATACTAGGGAACTGGTAATCTATAAATAAAAGTCTCTTCTAAATAATCTGGATTGGTAGTTTAGAATAGCTAGATTAAATCAAAAAAACTGAATAAGACCAAAGTGTTTGAGAAAGCACTCTATTAACCAAGTTGCCAAAACCAAAAGAAAAAGATCTGCTTAAATACAAATACTAAAGAACTGGTAACTTGCAAGTAAAAGTCTCTTCTAGATTATTTAGATTGGTAGTTTGGGATTCAATAAGTCTTTAATAGTTTGTAAAGTATGTACTGGAGTTTCGATAAACTCTACAAAGGCAGAAATAGATAATATATATCTATCTGTTTAGTTTTTTATAATAAATATATAAAAATATTAATTATTTTTCTAATAATAACTTTTATATATTAGTCTAATTAAAATAATTTTATTATCAAAATATTCATCTCAATAAGATGAACATTTTGGTAATAAAATTATTTTAATTAGACTAATATATAAAAAGTTATTATTAGAAAAATAATTAATATTTTTATATATTTATTATAAAAAACTAAACAGATAGATATGGGTAATAGCTTCAGTTTACAGGTACTTGTCCTTGAACTTGGCATAAATTACTGAAGTCTAGACTAATCAAATTATGAGTATAGAAAACTCTAGCAGGTTGATCTTAAGGATAAGAAATATGACAAAAATCAAGTGATTTTTTAGGAAGAAAAAGGTAAAAAAGATTAAAATTATATATAAAAACCTGATTTTTTTATATTAAGAAAGAGGAAGGAAGTAAGCCTCTAATAAAAAATAATCAAATAATAAATAACACTGCTCTAAAAAGCTTTTTGGTTAAAGCCTGCTTTAAAATCTTAAGCTATGTATCTAAAATAAGAAGTATTTATTCTGCTTGGTTATAAAAATAGTTAACCTAAGGGTATGGTGATTTAGTAAAGTGGTTAAGTTGTCATACCCCAAGTGGTATGTTGGCTAGATAGAGGGTTCAAAATCTACTGACAACGAATTTTGAATATTCTACTTGTATGACGGCTACTGTCTTTTGACAATCAGTTAAAACGGGATCTCTGTAATCTTGGTGGTATTAACAAAATTAAAAGATCATAGGTATTTGTGCAATATATGAGTTATACGAATATGTTCTCAGATCGTATTAATCCAAAGAACTAAAAAGACGAATATCTGCTTGGTAAGACCCAAGTAGAAAGGTAATACAGACCTTCAACAGTACTATATAAAGAATTATCATTAGATAAACTGACAAAAACTGAACAGGATTGAAATGTTTGGCAAAGCACTTCACCAATCAGGCCGTCGGAGTACTGGAGGAAAAGAACCTAATCA